AGTCAAAAGCAACCTTAGGGCTTCAGTCCTCTTTTCTACCACCTGTTCCTAGCAAGCACATCATCACCCAGAACACTGCTTAACAAAGAAACAAAGTCTTGTCTCTGAGCTTATAGTCTATCTGCGTATCTGTGCCCAAGGAATTTCCTAGAAATGTATTTTATCGTGTTTTGTTTGGCCATTTAGTGCTTTCAGAACATCTGGATACTTTCCCAAGCTTTTAAAAATTAGGAAACTTCCCTCAGAAGTCCTGCTTTTTAGCTTCTCTGAAAACACTAGAAGATCCAGCAATGCCAATTCCCTGTTTCAAGCATGGTGGCCCCTTTGCATAGGGCTTGTGCTGTAGCTTGTCCAGCTGGCCTCAGTGTGCAGCTTCTCCCTGCCCCTAGTCATGCCACCCATCTGGCCGACAGAGATCATTGACTTTATGACCCAGAAACCAGAGGGGTCTCTCAAAGGAGGGATTGGCCTTTTGTGCCTTTGTGGTCAATTCTTCACTGGCTTTGGTTCAGTGTGTGCAGGCATTTATGGACTACCTAGCAGATACCAGTTCCAACTAGGCACAAAAGACACAAAGCTGAATGAGACTCAGTCCCTGCTCTCAAGCGTCATTGTACCAACAGCAGTTAGCATTTATGGAGCACTTTCCATACGTTGAATACTGTCCAAAGTCACTTCCATGTATTATCTCATTTAAATATTTTCTTTTTATTTTTGAGTCAGAGGTCTTCCTCTGTTGACCAGGCTGGAGAGCAGTGACACAGTTTTGGCTCACCACAGCCTCTACCTCCTGGACTCAGGCAATCCTTCTGCCTCAGCCTCCCGAGTTGTTGGGACTACAGGTGTGCACCACATTGTCTGGGTAATTTTTTGATTTTTGTGTAGGAGGGTCTCACCATGTTGCCTAGGCTAGTCTTGAACTCCTAAGATCCAACATTTCTCACTTCGGTCTCCCAAAGTAGCTGGGACTAAAGGCATGAGCCACCACACCCAGACTAACTTAAACACCTAGAGTAATAACTACAATTATCTCACTTAACAGATGAAGGATTGCTGGAGAATCAGAAGGATTGAGCAACTTGCCCAAGATTACACACAGAGCTAGAATTCAGCTTCAGGTTAGTCTGGCACTCACAGTGATTTGCTATGGTCTACTTTCTCAGAGCCAGGTGTGAGATGCAGGCACACAAATGAAAAGAAGTCATTGCAATGCTATAATTGAGATGAGTCCAGGCTACAATGAAGGTGTGAAGGAGGAAACACCCTCTGGACACCACCTCACTGTGGGATATATAGCCTCACCACCTGCATGGGACTCTGCATTTCTGGTCCCTGCTTCCACTCACAAACAGGTCTAGTACTGTTTATAGTATTCTTTGGTCCACCTGCCCTGCCATGATAGCCATCTCTTGCTTTTCCCTCCTTCCTTCTTCTAATAACAAGAGATGAAATATGGGTGGGACTGTCCCCGGCTCACCTGGCCACACAAGATGGCCCATCAGTCAATAAGAATTGTTTAGGCTCAGTCAATAAGAATCTTCTCTGGGAGCATTCTCATAACCATACTCTTACATCATCTCTCTTCTGGTCCTGCATTGCGTGTAGCCACCTTGCTAGCTCACCAAGGAGAGAGACAGAGAGAGACAGAGCCTTTCAGTCCTGAAAGGACATAACATGGATTTAATATATCCAATGAGTAGTCATTTTAACATGGATTTAATGTGCCCAATGAGCAGCTTATTTTGTACTAACTAGCTTTTATATTTCAAGTATTTGCCTCCACCATGAGACCCAAGTTAACCTAATCAGCTCTTCATGATCGTTGTGACAGACAGACTCCACCACCATGGCAGCAATCATGTGACTAACCCACTCATGTGCCCGCTGTCCATCACCTGATGTCAATACCTGCATTTACTGGTTCTTTCAGGATGATGTAGACCCATCACCTTAACAACCTTTCCCCATCAAAGAGAAGGATTAAAAGGATTCAAACACAAGCAGCCAGTCACCACTGCCTTACTGGACTCTGGTGTGGCCATGTGCTCTTTGAGTTATCACCATCACTATGTCTTCTGGCTTTGGCCCCCTTCCCTACCTTGGGGAGGGGAATCTCCTCTTTCTTTCTCTCTCTAATTTACTTTTAAAATAAACTACATTTTCCAATCTAACTTCTGTGCAATTCTTTCACATGGCACCAGATCACACACCAGACACCCACACCCCTAGCAGTCCTGGCCTAACATTTGGAGGCCCCGCTGGGACTATGACTAACAGGTTCGTACCTCTAGAGATGCCTAAACAATATTTACCTCTGGACTTCATCAGTTTACAGGATCCAATGCATTTTAATTATTGCTTATTTGAAAAAGTACTAACATAATCGGTGCTTGTCAGTCTAAAGATACCAAACAACCACTGAGTGAGAGCTTTCTGAAAACCTTTCACCAAGCACCAGCTTTTAAACAGTTCATGCAAAAGGACTAATTTCCAAACAATTAGAGCACAAGCCCTTAAAGGCCAGAACTCCAGCTTCAGAGTATTTCCCATAATGCTGATCACAAAGACTTCATACAAAAAGAGCTCTGCAAATGCCTGTGAATGAGCGCACTGATGCACGAAAGCACCACTAAACTAGAGAGAATTAAAAAGGTGGTTATCTTTGATCCTTATGTCTTTGTCCCAAATAACTCAAAAAACAAACAAACAAAAAATCATTCATTCATGTCAAGATGCAACCAACTGACATTTTTCTTGACATAACAGTGCTGAGTGAAATCAATTCCTTTGCCATGACAATTTTGACCTGTGTGACTTGATTTTATTTCCAGTGCACAGCTAATCATGTTTTTGAGAGAAAACTCTCAAAACCCCTCCTGTAGGTCCTAGGACTCTATAAGCTATGTTTGAAAAACTCTATTTTTAAAGAAGTTTGTGTCTCTTTCATCCTCAAACTAACTCAAAGTTGGATCATTTCCATTGCTGATGTCACCCCCCATGCTCCCCCACTATTCCCCACCCCCTACCCCTCCCATATACACCCCTTTCATTTCTCCAAAAAAGCCCACGCTAAACAATTCTTTAGAAAGTTTTAAGGCAGGGAGAAAGGTGAACACCTTTGTTAACTCTCAATTTTCTGTTCTGGGCCTCTCTTCTATCTCATCAAGCCCTGCTATAGCCAGGCCTCTCTTTTCTCATTCTTTGTTTGAACAGATGTTCTCATGTTGGGTCACCTTTGGAGACATTCCATGATCTTCCTAGTTCTGTGCTTCCAAGCAAGCAATAGGAAACAAGCAAACACAACTGAATAACAATATAAAACTTTTTGTCTCTTTCAATCCTAAATCCCGACAGATCCCAGTCACTGCTATTCCATACTCTGGCTTATTTTCTCACCAAATCACATAACTTGAGACCTAAAGCTGCTCCGTATTGGAATATATGATATATGAGATCAGTGACCATCTCCCAAAGTGCTTGTGTTTTCATTTCCAAAGCAGAGGCTTAAAAGGCATGTCTCAGAGTGATCACCCATCCAGCCTGTCCTAGAAGGTCAGTGTATCCTCAACACAGCAGCTCCCACCCCTCGTCGCAGCTTGGGTTGCCAATAACTGGGCTGTCAGCGTCCGTCCTATCGCCACCCTCTGCCTTCACACATCGTCCTTAGCCTGGCTTCTGCCCACCCTCTGTCCTGATCCTTGTTATTCTTCCCCTCTCCCTCCCAACTTCTTCCTTTCCCTGCTCCTGGACACCTCCTTGTTTTTCTTCCCTTCCCTGACTAATTTATATTTCCTGTTGGTACAACTCCAAGTGTTATCATCTACTCATTTTTCAGGAAACTAGAATGCAGATTCGATCCTAAACTCTTCCTCTGGCTGCTGAGGCTAGGATATCGAAGTGCAAAGGGGTTAGAAAGACCCTGGAACGGCACTGATGCACACCCAGGGGAACAGCCATGCACTGAGGCAACGAGCCTAGCATCGTGCCGGCATTCCCGCTCTCTGCAATTACTCCCAGCATCACTCTGGGACCCTGTTTACACTAAAAGCTTCATTTGCAGAATTGATTTCAATAACAGTCCTGAGGATGGCTGTGAATAAGTGACCTGGTGTGATCAGGGTAGGTATTTCTGAATCTCTACTGATGATACTAAATATTAATATCAATAACAATACTTATTATCAGTAATAGTAATGCTGAGAACTATTACTCTACTACCATTTATCATTAAAAATAGTAACAGGAAAAGTGGGGGCTGGGGGGAGAGGATGGCCATTGCGGCGCTGGTTCCCGGGAGCGGCCGTGGAGCCACAATTGCGGAGGAGTTCAGGAAACAGCCGCCGGGACCCTCCCCTAGGCTCCCCTCGCCCCAGCTGAGAGGCGCCGCGGCGGACCGAGCGACCTTCCCCCGCGCTGCGTCCGGCTTCTTCGCCGCCGCGAGATGGGCCTGCTCCCCCGCCGCCAGGTGCCGCTGCCGCTCTGAGAAGTTAAAGAACATCTATGACAACAGTCTTCTATAAATGGAACTTTTCAAGAATTCTCTGAAGGAACCAAGTAGGATTTACTTACATCATGACTTAATCTGAACGCAAGAACAAGAAACAGGTTTTATCTCTAAATATAATGAAGGGCTGTGTGTAAACACTGACCCTGACTCAATTCTAATGAGCATTTTAGACATGAGTTTACATCTGCAAATGGGTTCAGATCGAGATCTTCAGTCTTCTGCTTCATCCGTAAGCTTGCCTTCAGTCAAAAAAGCACCCAAGAAAAGAAGAATTTCAACAGGCTCTCTGTTTCGGAGGAAAAGGGAAAACAAACGTAAATCAAGAGAGCTAAACAGGGGGGTGGATGGAATTGCAAGTATTGAAAGTATACATTCTGAAATGTGTACTGATAAGAACTCCATTTTCTCTACAAATACCTCTTCTGACAATGGATCAACTTCTATCAGCAAACAAATTGGGTGCCCTTTGTGTCTTTTGCAGCATTCTAAAGACATATTTCCTGATATAATGACTTGTCATCATAGATCTTGTGTGGATTGCTTACGACAATATCTAAGGATAGAAATTTCTGAAAGTAGAGTAGATATCAGTTTCCCAGAATGTTCTAAACGGTTTAATTCCCATGATATTTGCTTGATATTAAGTGATGTGTCTTGATGGAAAAATAGAAGAATTTATGCTTAGATGATGGCTTATTGCAGATCCTGATTGTAGATGGTGTCCAGCTCCAGATTGTGGATATGCTGTGATAGCAATTGGATGTACCAGCTGTCCAAAGTTAACTTGCGGGTGAGAGGGCTGTGGAACGGAGTTTAGCTACCACTGTAAACAGATTTGGCACCCCAACCAGACCTGTGATGCCGCTCAGCAAGAAAGAGCCCAGAGTTTATATTTGAGAAGTATACGTTCTTCATCCATTAGTTATAGTCAAGAATCTGGAGCAGCAGCTGATGATATAAAGCCATGTCCACGATGCACTGCTTATATAATAAAGATGAATGATGGGAGCTGCAATCACATGACATGACATGTGCTGTTTGTGGTTGTGAGTTTTGTTGGTTGTGTATGAAAGAAATCTCAGATTTACGTTATCTAAGTCCATCAGGGTGTACTTTTTGGGGAAAGAAACGTTGGAGCCGAAAGAAGAAAATATTGTGGCAGTTGGGAACACTGGTTGGTGCTCCTGTAGGAATTGCTTTTATAGCGGGCATTCCTATTCCTGCAGTGATTATTGGCATTCCTGTGTATGTGGGCCACAAGATTCACAATCAATATGAAGGCAAGGCTGTTTCAAAGCACAAACGGAATTTGGCCATAGCAGGTGGTGTAACGTTGTCTGTAATTGTATCTCCAGTAGTAGCTGCAGTGACTGTAGGTATTGGTGTTCCTATTATGTTAGCTTATGTCTATGGCGTTGTTCCAATTTCTCTCTTTTGAAGTGGAGGCTGTGGAGTCTCAGAAGGCAATGGAAAAGGAGTCAGGATTGAATTTGATGATGAAAATGATATAAATGTTGGTGGAACTAACACAGCTATAGACACAACATCAGTAGCAGAAGCAAGACACAATCCTAGCATAGGGAAAGGAAGTGTTGGTGGCCTGACTGGCAGTTTGAGTGCAAGTGGAAGCCACATGGATCAAATAGGAGCCATTTGAGACAACCTGAGTGAAAAGGCTAGCACCATGGCACTGGCTGGGGCCAGTATAACGGGGAGTCTGTCAGGAAGTGCCATGGTTAATTGTTTTAACAGGTTGGAAGTACAAGCAGATGTACAGAAAGAATAGTACAGTCTAAGTGGAGAATCTGGCACCGTCAGCTTGGGAACAGTTAGTGATAATGCCATCACCAAAGCAATGGCAGTATCCCTTCTCAACTCATACATCCCCTTGGACAAAGAAGGCAACAGTATGGAGGTACAAGTGGATATTGAATCAAAACCATCCAAATTTAGGCACAACAGTGGAAGCAGTAGTGTGGATGACGGCAGTGCCACCCGAATCACACTGGTGGTTCATCCTGTGGTTTGCCTGAAGGTAAATCTAGTGCCACCAAGTGGTCCAAAGAAGCAACAGCAGGAAAAAAATCAAAAAGTGGTAAATTGCGGAAAAAAGGTAACATGAAGATAAATGAGACCAGAGAGGACATGGATGCACAGTTGTTGGAACAACAAAGCACGAACTCAAGTGAATTTGAGGCTCCATCCCTCAGTGACAGTATGCCATCTGTAGCAGATTCCCACTCTAGTCATTTTTCTGAATTTAGTTGTTCTGACCTAGAAAGCATGAAAACTTCTTGTAGTCATGGTTCCAGTGATTATCATGCTCGCTTTGCTACTGTTAATATTCTTCCTGAGGTAGAAAACGACCGTCTGGAAAATTCCCCACATCAGTGTAGCATTTCTGTGCTTACTCAAACTGCTTCATGTTCAGAAGTTCCACAGTTGAATCATATTGCTGAAGAACATGGTAACAGTGGAATAAAGCCTAATGTTGATTTGTATTTTGGTGATGCACTAAAAGAAACAAATAACAACCATTCACATCAGACAATGGAATTAAAAGTTGCAATTCAGACGGAAATTTAGGTCCCTAAATGCTGCAAAATAATTACCACTGAACAACCTTGTGTAGAGCTGGTTGAACTACTTGTGACCACTTTAACTTTCAAGTTACCAGCAAAAGCCGGGTTTCATAATCATAATGCAGATACATTTTCTGTGTTCAGCAAAGCATTGTGTTTCATGTGGATCTTAATTACCAAACTATGAAATAAAGGCTTTAAAAGTGCATTATTGTAAGGATAATAAATCTTCAGAACAAAGCATGTTTTGTGTGCCACAAAACATTGCTTAAAGCAAATACTTGTATATTTAGATAGAAATTGGGCTTAATTTATAATCAACATAAAATACTAATGCAGTTCTACAGCATTCAAATGAGGAAAACTTGAGACCTAGGGTTAAGTGGTTAGTGATATTTTATTGAAACCACTAAGGAATACTGTTTAAAAGAACTTTGCAGGTTACTCTCAGTATATGATACTCTTTGTAACATTTCTATTTATATCTGGGCATAAATTTCATTTTTTTCTTCATATGCAATGTTGAATATATAAAGCTTGATGCAGCCTATTTGCTACCATTTGGATACTTAGACACTTTGAGCAAGATTATGGCAGTTTTTGCACAACTTTGAAATAGAAATACCTGGTACTCTATATATCTTGTATATCGATGCCATCTTAGGAGAAAATTGTAAAGGTAAGTAATTAAGTATACTGACAGCAACAAGTAAGATATATAAAACTACAAAACAAAATCCCATTAGGTTATAAGTATTACAAAAAAGTCACCTTTTTTTAAGGGGAAATTTGCACCCCATTGATCTTGGTGCCTTTGGGATAGACTGGGTTTTAAGGGCCTAGTAATTTGAGGATATCACTGTATTGTTTTCCATAATGTCTTCTCTAGTCACCTTGAATTATATAGAAAAATACAGGAAATAGATAAACATGAATGTGATTAATAACAGTGCTGAAAAAGTATTAGCCTACCAAAGACACACTCAGGCTTTAGTGAATAACTTTATATAACCTCAATTTTTAACACATGTATCTTCTCCAACCATGAAATCAAAGCATGGTGCAGAGCTTGTACCATGTAGAAAAGGTCCATGTATGGTTGACTTTATTTTATGTTGCTTTTGTTTATGGAAGATGTTCAGCTGACATAAGCAGAAGTTGGCCAAAATACTGCCTGTACTGTTAACTTCCTGTATAATTCACTTAAATAAAGCAGGTTAACCTCAATGATAGCAGTTAAAATGTTTTATCTTATGTGTTTCCTTTAAGTATTACCATTATGGTGCTACCGAGCATTTTCTTTTGATAAAAAGAAAAATGTCATGGGCTGCAGTCTTCTTCCATCACTTTTTCTCACCAGGTCCATTAATATGCTTATAACACTAGTGCCATTTATTTTATTTGATAATGCTTATTATGGTATTTGTATATTTGTTTGCATTCCAGTTTTGTTCGATAATGAGTGTGTAAACTGCATACGTGAAATAAATGTAAATACTAATGTGTTGCTGCCTTCTGGTGTGTGCACAAGTGTTTTTATAAGAACAGGAGTATTCCTTGGCCATGTGGTTATGAATATTGAATATCAGTAGTAGTGAATATTGAATATTCATGAATATTGGAAGCCACTGAAATGATGCAGGTTTTCTGGTCTCAGCCCAAAGGAAAACATTTGCTGAACTTTTCAACATACAGTGTTAGGAACTATCCTTTCTTCATGTCTAATTCCTGTCTTTCCCCCAGAAAGAAGATGTTTTATATAGTAACATAATTTATTTCTTTTTAAGTACATTGGTTGAATTTAATTTGAATAAATATATCTATCAGTCAGGCACAGTGGCTCACGCCTATAATCCCAGCACTTGAGAGGCGGAGATGAGCGGATTGACTGAGCCAGGGGGTTCAAGACAGCCTGGGCAACTTGGCAAGACCTCATCTCTACAATAAATCAAAAAATTAGCTGGGCATAGTGGTGCACTCCTGTGGTTCCAGCTACTTGGAAGACTGAGGCAGAAAGATCACCTGAGCCCAGCAGGTTGAGGCTGCAGTGGCCATGAGTGTGCCACTGCACTCTAGCCTGGGTGACAGAGTAAGACTCAAAAAAAGAAAAATAGATCTATCATTACATTTTGAAAACAAATCAGTATTATAAATCTTCATGTTAGAAAAATAAAAAGATCCTGAAAGACTACTGTAAAAAAATTTTTTGGCAGCATTAGATTATGAAGCTAGAACTATTTAAATTCAGGCTACTAATAGTAACCAAATGCTTTCTGTTCTTGTAGTTTCTATAAGATGCATAGACGGTTTTCCTGTTTTCCTGATATGTAGTTAATAATACTTCATGAAAATAATTAGTGTGAATGTGTTGACTGCTTTCTTGAAAAGGCTAAAGATGAAATAGAAAGCTAAATGATCTTAGGAGGAATACAGCAAAAGGTGTCGTATAGGAGGCCAGTGCTTTCAGTTCACCCTATCCCTTCTGCTTGTAATCCCAACCAGTACCACTTTAGTCTCACCTTGAAAATAGTCTAACCGGGCTTGGTGGCTCAGCCTGTAATCCTGCGACTTTGGGAGGCTGAGGTGAGTGGATTGCCTGAGCCCACGGGTTCGAGACCCGCCTGGGCAGGCGAGACCTCATCTCTACAACAAATCAAAAAAATTGGCTGGGTGTGGTAGTGCGCGCCTGTAATTCCGGCTACTCGGAAGGCTGAGGCGGAGGGATCGCCGGAGCCCAGCAGGTCGAGGCTGCGGTGGCTGGGAGTGGCCACTGCACTCCAGTCTGGATGACAGAGTGAGACTCCAACTAAAAAAAAAACAAAAAAACAAAGAAAATAGTCTAGACTTTTCCACTGGTTTCGGAAGTTTCTTATCTCCAGGATTCTTCAAGCGTGGAATGCAGGACCAGGGAAGTTTCTACCTGGAGCTCAACTCTGTGCTAGCCTAGAACACGAGAATCCCCAGGGTATTGAAGGCAAACCTTAGCTCAGTGAAATCTTTTTAACCCTTTGTACTTGGTTTTCTTTAAGGCCTGTAGGAAAAATCACTTAGCAGTGAGAAAAAAGAATACAAAGATTATAATAGTATGCCCTACTGTTGATTATGTAGACCACCATTTAACTGGTGGATTCTCTTTAAATGTCTCAGCTTCAGAATACTGAATGTGTTGGCTTTTTATGTTAAATACATATGATCTATTACTCATAACTTATTTGTGTTGGAAATTGGATTAATTTGTAAATATGAAAGACTTCATACCATGTTGTCTAGATAGCTATAGACATGGATCACCAAAGGAGTAAGTACATGTTGAAAACCATCAGAGATATTAATTCCTATATGACATGAGTAAAATAACTAAACTCTTGCTCCGATGATAATTTTACCTTTCCATCCAGAGTTATCAGGATTCTCTAGGCTGCATTTTATATGGTTCCTTTTAATTAAGGCTTTGTTGTTTCATTTATTCTCTTATTAGTGTTAGATATGGCTGGGTTCGGTGGCTCAGTCTGTAATCCCAGCACTTTGGGAGGCCGAGGTGAGAGGATTACCTGAGTCCAAGGGTTTGAGACCAGCTCAGGCAACTTGGTGAGTCCTTATCTCTACAATAAATAAAAAATTAACTGGGCATGGTAGCACATGCCTGTAGTTTCAGCTACTTGGAAGGTTGAGGCGGAAGATCACCGGAGCCCAACAGGTTGACACTGGGGTGGCCGTGAGTGTGCCATTGCCCTCTAGCCTGGGCGACAGTGAAACTCCAACAACAACAAAATGTGAGTAGTATTATTGCCCAAAAAAGCACTATTTACATACTGGTTGATTTTGAATGCCCAAGATAATTTTCTAAACATGAGGAGAGTTGTTTAGGTAGCTAACTATTTAGATGAATAGTGAAAAGGAGTTTGCAGTTTTTAAACTTAGTTCAAATTGAATCACTATACTTCATATGCTAGTCAGAATTTTTGTGATTTCTACCAATTTACTCAACAGATATAAAAACAGATGCTAGAGATACAGTATAGTACCAAATAAACACTCTGGCCTGGCACTGTAGCTCATGCCTGTAATCCCAGCACTTTGAGAGGCTGAGGTGGAAGAATTGCTTGAGGCTAGGCCTGGGCAACATAGCGAGACTTCATCTCTACAAAAAAAATTGTTAAAAATAGCTGGGTGTGTTGGTGAATGCTTGTAGTCCCAACTACTCAGAGGCTGACACAGGGGGATTGCTTGAGCCCTGGAGCTATGGTCTTGCTACACTCTAGCCTGGGTGACACAGCTAGGCACTGTCTATAAATAAACACTCTGGCTTCAAAGTGCTTATAGTTGGCAGAAAAATTAAAATAGTAAACATATACACATAGGCTTAAAATAATGTAACCAGATGTAAAATAATAACCAGATGATGGCTACAATGAAAAATTTGAGGAAGGTGCAGTAGAGTGGGGTTATTGATATTGCAAAGTAGTGCTGTTTTATATATGGCAAACAGGAAAGGTCTTTGCTTAGAGGACATTTATACAAAGACCTAAAGGAAGTGAATAAGATGGCATGTAGACGTATCTCACCAGAGATGAATGGGTATTTTCAAAAACAGATCTCCAAGGTGAGTTAATGAGCAATGTAGTCATCAATTTTGGAATTTGATTTGATATCTAGTAGGGCAAGTCTGCCAGCTTGTTTTTCTTGGAGAGTTCTTGATTGTTCTTGGCACTTTACAATTCCGTAAACATCTTAGAATAAACTATCAAAGTCCACCAATTTTGACTATAATGATCCCTATAGAAGTCTTAAGTCTTTCACACCTTAAATTTTATTCCCAGGTACTTGGTATTTTTTTTCTATTATAATGGCATCTTTTTAAAATGCCATTTTCTGTTTGTTATCAGTAGTATATAGAACTACCATCGATGTTGTACAATTATTTTGTATCTGGCATATCTTACTCTTTTAGTTTATTTCTAGATTCTGTGAGATATCCATGCACCCACTCATCATTTGTGAATATTTTTATTTACTTTTACAGTGCTTTGAAGTACCAAACACTTTCTAAACAATTTTTAAACATTAATTTACATACTACTCAGAACAACCCTGTAAAAGGGGTACACTTATGATCCTTGTTTTATACATTAAGTAACCGAGGCTCTGTAAGTGCTTTGCCCAGAGTTGCATAGCTGGTAAATGGCAGAGGTGGGATTAAAACTGTTTTGTTGCCGGGCTCGGTGGCTCAGGCTGTAATCCTGCACTTTTGGGAGGCTGAGGTGTGTGGATTGCCTGAGCACGCTGGTTCGAGACCCGCCTGGGCAACTTGGCGAGACCTCATCTCTACAATAAATCAAAAATCATCTGGGCGTGGTAGTGCGCGCCTGTAATTCCAGCTACTCGGAAGGATCGCCGGAGCCCAGCAGGTCGAGGCTGCAGTGGCCGGGAGCAGACATTGCACTCCAGTCTGGGCGACAGAGTGAGACTCCAACTCAAAAAAAACCAAAAAACAACAAAAAAAACCTGTTTTGTTTCTTTCTTTTAGATCATTACATTGTTTCTTTTTCTGGACCATTTGCACTGACTGGGACTTTTAGAATATAGTGCTGAATAGCAGTTGTTTTAGGGGGCATTATTGATTTGTTCATCTCAAAGGGAAGCCTTTCATTGTTTCAACTTAAGATATTTCCTGCAGGTTATAGCAGTAGATATCCTTTATCAAATTTGGTAAGTTTTCTTTTAGTTTATAGTTTGCCAAGAGTTCTTACCTTGGAAAGTATGTTGAATTTCATTGGCTGTTCTTTTTTTTGGGAGGGCATCATATAATCATACATTATAAATTATGTTTGGTAATAAATTATGATTTAATGTGGTGAATTTGATATTCAAATGTTAACCTGGTTATGATAAACTTCAGTATCGGGTGTGTTCAACTGTAATGATGTCTTCTTTGAATGTTTGGTAGATTGCTGTTACGAATGTCTAGATTTGAATTGTTTGTTCTTTTAACACAGAGAGTCAGGCTTTCAGGGTTAGGAAGCAGCTTATTTTCATATCTGTATAACATGAGTGGTAACAAAAGGCAATCTCTTTCCTCTGTAAGAGTTGACTAATTCCAGAACGTGTGGGCTGGCTGGTGACAGTAGAGTCCTGCTTTTACTGTTTTTCTTTTGTCTTCACAGCCTTTTGCCTAAATAGCAGTGGAGCAACTATTTCTACTACCTTTTGTCCTTAGATATTACACAACACCGTGTGTATCAGGTACCTCCAAATTCTTAATTTCATGTTGACAATATTAGGAAAGTAGATCTTAAAAAGAAAGAAACTCTAGGCTATTGAGGACACAGACCTTGTCTTTGCTCTTATTTTTCCTATACTTGTAGTATTTACCTGTGTAAAGGAAATTAGGAGTAAGCTTGCTATGATGGGACAGAAGAGTGAGCAGAGGGAATGAGGATGTCTGTGGGCTTACCTCAGAGTTGATGGTCAGGCATGCCATCATATTGTATGGTAAAATAAGTTGTTTAA